CCATGTGATGTTTAAATATTAAATTAAACATTTAAATTAAATTAATAAATATTAATTATCATGACAGTAAGAATATTGATGAATGTATGAATAAATACTTAAAGTAAGGCCACAATGATGAGCTGTTGACACAAAATTATAATATTTCTTGAGGCCAAGAAGCAGGAAAAATTTATCTCCATATGGTCTTTGCTGCACACAAAGGAGTTTACAGACCCAAAACAGCTAAGGGAATCTATCTTTCCCTGTGAATGGGGATTTTAGTGTTTGTCAAAAGATGATAACTTCTGCATCACAAACATGTTTGTTATGAATGTTTAAAAATAATGTGTATTGGAATATTAAAAGGTAACATCACGATTTAAGTTATTGCTCTGCTGTGTGTGTATTCTCTTTGGACAGCTTTACAAAAAGTTCAATGCTCATGTGGCCTTGGTTGGGATGGAAATCTGGACTGATGATGATAAGATAAAGATAACCCCAAATATAAGCTCTACCCTGGAAAACTTTTCTAGATGGAGGGGGAGTAATCTCCTCAGAAGAAAGCATCATGATATTGCTCAGTTAATCACGTATGTATGAATTTTCCTCTTTGCACTCTATATGGTATTTGGCCTAGAAGATTTTCGAAGCCTTAGCAAAGCAAGTTGTATCTCAGGACACAGATAAGAGGAGTGGGTTTATGCATAAGTAATTAAAGTTTTGACAGGCATTCCCAATATTCATCTATTGAATATACTCTTACTTTTGATCCAAGAACTTTTTATTTTATTAAGTGATACTGATAATTTGACAGTAATTCATAAAAGAAACAGGATAAAAACACTAATTAAAATATGATAAAGGAAATACTTTTCCTTCAATTTATAAATTGAAACTCTTGTAATTTACCAGGAAAATTAAAAAAAGTTACCCATCGGTAAGAATAGTAGTTTCCAAATGCCCTGTATCCACTAAGAAGAGAAACTAAAATGCATAGCTACAAAATGAGGAAATATGTTGCTTTTATAGATGTACTACTAGTGAGAATGGAACCCACACAAATGTAGAAGTCAACATAACTTTACAATATAAATTTTAAAGAAAGTCCATATGTTGTAATTCTTTAAATTATGTGGCAATACAAATACAAAACAACAACTATATAGAGAGAAATTACGTAGAAAGAAGCATTTATTTGGACCAAAAACTTTTTATCTTGACGAGACATACCTTTCACAATGGCAAATATAACAATCATGTATCACATACAAAATATTAAATTTGACAACATCCAAGTGCTTGGATTTCCAGTAATAGGAAAGACACAATAGAAAAAAATGTCTCATAGAATTTCAAAATCTAAAGGCAAACTTTAAATAGTTTGTAATACGAATGTCTCTGCTAACCATGTAGAGTTCTGCATGAATCGTCTCTAAAGAATATAGTCTACAATCCTGAATTTTACATCAATTCCTTTCCATCTTGTAGCAAAACAGACTTTTCTGGAGCAACGGTGGGCCTTGCTTTCCTGTCTTCGATGTGCACACCTTACCATTCTGTTGGCGTTATTCAGGTGTGTTTGAAGATGAACTGTTGTTTCTGTAATTCACAGTTGCCAGATCCCCCCATCCCTCCAATTTATGGAGATTATTATCGTTTTCCTTCCTTTATCTATTGACATTGTAAATAACACTGATTGAATTGTATATGTTGAACTCATCTTGCATTCCAGGATAAGCCCACTTTAGTTATATTGTGTTATATTTGATTCAAAATGTTAATGCATCTCCACTATCTTTGCATGTATACTCATTAGGGATATTAGTCTATAGTTGCCTTGTAATGTGTTTTAGTTGTTTTATTTTTTTCCTTTATGATCACAGTAAAGTTGGTCTCATAAAATGAATTGCAATATGTTCTCAACTCTTTTATTTTCTGGAATATTTGAGTAAAGTGGTCATTTTTCCTTCCAAAATGTTTGATAAAATTTGCCAGCAAACACAAGTGGGACTGGAATGTACTTTGTGAACTGTTTTGACTACAAATTTGATTTCTTTAATGGACTATTAAGACTCTTCAGATTGCTATTTTAAGCAAACTATGGCAGGGTTGTCTTTAAAGAAAGCTATCCGTCTATTTAAGTAGACACAAATTTATTGATAACATTCTTTATTATCCTTAGAATATGTAATTTGTAAGTAATGCCTTGTCTCTCATTTATATCAACTTTGTGTGTCTTTTTTGTCATAATCAGTCTTGGTAAAAGTTTACCTATTTTATTGATCTTCACATAGAAACAACTTTTTGTTTCATTGATTTTATCTATGGTTTTCCTTCTCTTAATTTTATCGATTTCTGCTTTTCT